TCGAGCAAGCCATGGATTGATATTTGTTGGTGGAGGGGGAGTATAAACTTTACCATTCTGTTTGGGAACCGCCTATAATGTGTGTAGCATGGAAGTTATCGCCATCTCTTAGTTGTTATGTTGACAATGAAAGTATACCGCTCAAAATGTTAATTATCTCTATTTCAAAACCGAGCTCTAGCACCTCTACAAATCCCTGCTTCCCTCTGCGAAGGGCCTATCTATTTACTTTTATGTTGAGTCATCACCCTCTTATTAAAAGCACTAGCTGGAGAGCGCAGCTGTCATTTGCATTCATCACTGTTAATTTATATCGGGTGTGACTATCATTGGATATTTTTTACCATGAATTACAATGTCTAGTCAGTCCTTGATCTTTAAAGGTGCTCTGCATTTATGTTTTGCGGTCTCAGAAAGGGCTAGCGGGATACCATCTTGTTATATCATAGTATGATTGTTTTGAGAAAGTGTTGTCATCCGAGATTTATTATTATGGCTTGCTAGTTGATTATGCTATTGATATGGGTAATCATGAGACCTGAAAATTATTGCAAATATGGTTAGTTATAATCTTTGCTGAAAACTTGAATGCTAGCTTGACATTTTTGCAACAACAAGAGCAAACATAGTTTGTAAAAGTTTTTCTTTATTTCTTTCAGTTTGTCAACTGAATTGCTTGAGGACAAGTAAGGGTTTAAGCTTGGGGGAGTTGATACGTCTCCGCCGTATCTACCTTTCCAAACACTTCTGCCCTTGTTTTGGACTCTAACTTGTATGATTTGAATGGAACTAACCCAGACTGATGCTGTTTTCAGCAGAACTGCCATGATGTTGTTTTATGTGCAGGAAACAAAAGTTCTCGAAATGACCTGAAACTCCACGGAATATCTTACAATAAATAATAAAAAATCCTCGCCAAAGATGAAGACCAGGGGCCCACACCCTGTCCACGAGGGTGGGGGACGCCCCCCCTCTAGGGCGCGCCCCCCTACCTCGTGGGCCCCCTGGAGACCTCCCGACTCCAACTCCAACTCTATATATATGCTTTCGAGGAGAAAAAAATAGGAGAGAAGAATTCATCGCGTTTTAAGATACGGAGCCATCACCAAGCCTAAAACCTCTCGGGAGGGCTGATCTAGAGTCCGTTCGGGGCTCCGGAGAGGGGGATTCGTCGCCGTCGTCATCATCAACCATCCTCCATCACCAATTTCATGATGCTCACCGTCGTGCGTGAGTAATTCCATCGTAGGCTTGCTGGACGGTGATGGGTTGGATGAGATTTATCATGTAATCGAGTTAGTTTTGTTAGGATTTGATCCCTAGTATCCACTATGTTCTGAGATTGATATTGCTATGACTTTGCTATGCTTAATGCTTGTCACTAGGGCCCTCGTGCCATGATTTCAGATCTGAACCTATTATGTTTTCATCAATATATGAGAGTTCTTGATCCTATCTTGCAAGTCTATAGTCACCTATTATGTGTTATGATCCGTTAACCCCGAAGTGACAATAATCGGGATACTTACTGGAGATGACCGTAGTTTCAGGAGTTCATGTATTCACTATGTGTTAATGCTTTGTTCCGGTTCTCTCTTAAAAGGAGGCCTTAATATTCCTTAGTTTCCATTAGGACCCCGCTGCCACGGGAGGGTAGGACAAAAGATGTCATGCAACTTTTTTTCCATAAGCACGTATGACTATATTCGGAATACATGCCTACATTACATTGATGAATTGGAGCTAGTTCTGTGTCACCCTATGTTATGACTGTTACATGATGAAACCACATCCGGCATAATTATCCACCACTGATCCGATGCCTACGAGCTTTCCATATATTGGTTTACGCTTATTTACTTTCCCGTTGCTATTGTTACAACCACTACAAAATACCAAAAACATTACTTTGCTTTCGTTACTCTTTTGTTACCGTTACCATCACTATCATATTACTTTGCTACTAAACACTTTGCTGCAGATACTAAGTTTTCAGGTGTGGTTGAATTGACAACTCAGCTGCTAATACTTGAGAATATTCTTTGGCTCCCCTTGTGTCGAATCAATAAATTTGGGTTGAATACTCTACCCTCGAAAGCTGTTGCGATCCCCTATACTTGTGGGTTATCACCGGTACACAGAGCGGTCATAGCTTGAAGGCTAGGTCTTAGTGCAAGAGGGATGAAGGAAATCTAGAAACTTACCGGAACGGTTGTAGACGAGGCTGTACACTGAACCGAGCATTCGACATCACATGCATGGGAGGCCACGGATGGTGCCAAGCAACAAATGCAGGATATCGAGACGACCATCACTAGGGGTACACTATGCACGTGACGCCAAGGCCAATAGGCCCACACGTCAATATTACTTGCTGACATAAGTCCCTTACAACGGGAAAGATAAAATAAGGAATATGTCAGAAACATTCAAGAAAAATGCATCAGTGAACAATAGCATAATCTAACTCTAAAACTAAGGTCAACCCCTGTCCAAAATATGAATATTAAGAAAATCATGCATAACGAGAAAGCAAATTAATGTAATTTCTGGCATACAAAAAATATAATTAGGTTTTTTTAAAGATGTTGATAGTCGCCGCGCCAAGCGACCAAAGAGTTAGTTTTTTGTCACTAAGGCTGTAACATGAACCAAATCTTTGGTAGCTTGGGCCTTTGAAATCAATGTTGCATACGTCTCTCTCGACCACTGTTGCAGCTCCAACAGCTATGAATCACCTGGGCATGATGATTTGAGTTGTGTTGTGGTGCAAACTTCATTGACGCTTGTGCGGCTTGGCCCAACTCATCTCTAACTCATGTAGTGGACAGTCATTTTCTAGTTTTGTATGTACCATAGAAGGGCAAAATGCCTAGAATTTTAAAAGGTAAATGAATAAAGCCTAAAATTTCTTATTTAAAGAGGAAGTGGGAGTAGGCCAGAAATTTGAGTAGCATAAAGGTATAACCGAGTTATATATCAGGAGGGATAAATAACAAATAAGATGAAGACATCTAAACTTGTCAAACATACAAGATCTAAAGAAAAATAAAGATACAATATAGGAAACCTTTTTGCTTCCATCATCTCCGCTATGAAAATGTTTCATTATGGCCACAGTGAGGGCCTTATCAGTCTTAACAACCCAGAAATATTTAATTGCGATTAGTCCAAGATCCCTCTAGGCCTCGTAGCATTGGGGGCCGGCGCTGGCAGCAGCCCCTGGGGCCTGGCTTGTAGCATTCCGGACGATACCTTTGTCACCACCGGCCGGCCTTGCAACACTTCTTGATCGGGCATGCAGCAGTGTGGCACCAGCCTAGCAACATCGCCTGGACATCCTCGCAACATTGCTGTCGGGCTCGCAACTATCGTCGGCCGCTCCTCGCTGCATCATTCATCAAGGAGAAGAATAATGAAAACTCCATGGCGACGTGAGGTGGGAGGAGGGGACGAGTGGCTAGAAATAGACAAGGATAAGGCAACCATGCACACGGGGCGACCAATTCCATCGCGCCACCAACTGATGTGAATCGTTTACCTGTATTTATGTGCATGCGCCCATATTTATGCGCAATCGGCCACACACTGCACTGCACAATACCTGCAACAAACAAAGAAACCTAGCAGCTAACCAAACCATGGACCACAGCCTGCTTCTCCTGCTCGCCTCCTTGGCCGCAATCGCCGTCGCGGCTTTCTGGCACCTCCGAAGCCATGGCAGACGAACAAAGCTGCCTCTGCCGCCGGGGCCGAGGGGTTGGCCGGTGCTGGGCAACCTGCCGCAGCTAGGGGCCATGCCGCATCACACCATGGCTGCTCTCGCGCGCCAGCATGGCCCCCTCTTCCGCCTCCGCTTCAGCAGCGTCGAGGTCGTCGTCGCAGCGTCGGCCAAGGTCGCCCGCAGCTTCCTCCGCGCGCACGACGCCAACTTCAGCGACCGCCCGCCTACCTCCGGCGCCGAGCACCTCGCCTACAACTACCAGGACCTCGTCTTCGCGCCCTATGGCGCCCGCTGGTGCGCCCTCCGCAAGCTCTGCGCGCTCCACCTCTTCTCCGCCTGTGCCCTCGACGCCCTCCGCACCATACGACAGGACGGGGCCCGACTCATGGTCACGCACTTGCTCTCTTCCTCCTCGCCGGCCGGGGTGGCGGTCAACCTGTGCGCCATCAACGTGTGTGCTACCAACGCGCTGGCACGGGCCGCCATCGGGAGGCGCATGTTCGGCGACGGCGTCGGCGAGGGTGCCAGGGAGTTCAAGGACATGGTGGTCGAGCTCATGCAGCTCACCGGCGTCCTCAATATCGGCGACTTCGTGCCCGCGCTCCGCTGGCTTGACCCGCAGGGCGTCGTCGCTAAGATGAAGAGGCTGCACCGCCGCTACGACCGCATGATGGACGGCTTCATCAGCGAGAGGGGCCAGCATGCCGGAGAGATGGAAGGGAACGACCTGCTGAGCGTGATGCTGGCGACGATTCGGTGGCAGTCGCCCGCAGATGCCGGCGAAGAGGACGGCATCAAGTTCACCGAGATTGACATCAAGGCTCTCCTCCTGGTATGCACAAATTGTTACATGCCCATTTGTTTGGCCATTCATAGTTTGTGCGTCTAGGTAAGGTATTTGTTGATGTCAAGTCAAAGATTTTGGATTGTCATAGCTATATTTTTCATTTTAATTAATGGGATACAAATATTGGTTCTTTTAGAATTTATTCACGGCCGGGACAGACACGACGTCGAGCACAGTGGAGTGGAGTCGGCGCTGGCAGAGCTCATACGAGACCCTTGCATCCTCAAGCAGCTGCAGCATGAGCTCGATGGCGTAGTGGGAAATGACCGTCTCGTCACGGAAGCCGACCTGCCACGCCTCACTTTCCTCGCCGCCGTCATCAAGGAGACATTCCGTCTACACCCGGCGACGCCGCTCTCCCTTCCCCGGGTGGCCGCTGAGGACTGCGAGGTAGACGGCTACCATGTTTCCAAGGGCACCACCCACATCATGAACGTGTGGGCCATCGCCCGTGACCCGGCCTCATGGGGCCCCGACCCATTGGAGTTCAGGCCGGTCCGCTTCCTCCCGGGCGGATTGCATGAGAGCGCGGATGTGAAGGGGGGCGACTATGAGCTCATCCCGTTTGGGGCGGGTCGGAGGATATGCGCAGGCCTCGGCTGGGGCCTTCGGATGGTGACACTCATGACTGCCACGCTGGTGCACGCATTCGACTGGTCCTTGGTTGATGGAACGACGCCCGAAAAACTCAACATGGAGGAGGCCTATGGTCAGACCCTGCAAAGGGCCGTGCCTCTAGTGGTTCAGCCTGTGCCTAGGTTGTTGTCGTCGGCGTACACAGTGTGACGCATGTTTTATCATGGTTCTTTGTTGTCTTTCAGTTCCTTTCAGTTTGATGTACCTTGTTTAACCAATTCATAATATTCAAATCATTTGTAAGAAAAGTGTACACGGCACGATTATTACTCTATTTTCATTTATCTCTTTGCAAATGGATGGTAAGGAAGATTGGAGAGCTATGTGTATGTCACTCTCGTGATATTTAGGTTTTTGTTGCACACAGCCGGAACTTACCCCAAATAGGACCTACGCCTCCAAGCACACCATAGGGTCGAGAACCAACAAACTCACAACCAAATTGAAGATCTTATTGAGCATCATTGGCGATTTCATATCACTTGATTCTTATGCTTTTATCATGTTTATTTGGGTTCCTAATTTATTTGGAGTGTATGATGTGTTTGAATTTGAATGGTTAAGTTTGAAAACATTTAATTTGATATGTATTTGAATTGTGTGTACTTGAATTCTTAAGTTTTGAATTGATAAGTTTGAAAATGGTTGGATGAATTGGGAAAAAGATTTTTTAGGGGATTAAATTTTACTAGATGAAGTAATGTTTAATGCCCTAAAATTATAAGGAAGGGGATAAGTGATACATTTTGGACTTGTAGGATAGGTGATCTTCTAGAGTTGCTCTAAGGTGAGACATCTATTTTTCGGGGAGGCAGTGCTCGGTTTCAGACATCGCTAGTTAGGAAGGATTAGAGATCAGAGGGATTAGGAGGCTTAGGCTGGGC